TATATATATATATATTAAACTTTTTAAGATTCTTATAATCTGAAAAGTTTTCTTTAAAGATTATTTTGTTTTCGTAAAATACGAAGCATTAATTTTACTGTAATTTTTACTTCTTAAATAATTGCCAAGAGTCTTTGAACTACGTAACTGCGAAATTAAATTAACTTACAAAATTCCTTATCTGAAATGCAAAATTAGATTATGAAAACATTCAAATACAACAACTTCTTTCTTATTAAATTTAACAGTCTTTATTATGATATTCGTTTTCCTCTTTTTTAATTTTTTTTTTCCTTTGGTGACCTTTAGAATGCATTATACATGCATATAAATCCTTAATTATTAATTATGCTCTATACTATATTCTATTTTACTTTTATGCATAATAATAGTTTTAGAGTTCTTTCCTAAAAAATGGAAAATTTGATAATTATTGATTAAATTACTCTGAAAAAGTCCCTACAGTATATGAGCATAATAAATTTACTTAAATCCTGTTACGAGCAAATGGTTAATAGCCAAAACTGGTATTTTAGAATAAAAAACAATATATTTTTAAAGAGAAAAGGTGATTTTATTCATTGTGAACCTTTCTTTAATTTATTAGTATGCATTTTCGGTTCATAAATTTTAAACATTTTCTTATAATGCATTTCAAACTTTTTTTGATGCTTACAATAGCCTTTTTTTATAGTTATATAAGTATTAATTTTTTTTACTCGTTTTAAATTTTCATACTTATTTCGTAAACTTTCCCGTATCAAGTTCCAAATGGAATAGAATAGAATAGAATAGAATAGAATAGAATAGAATAGAATAGAATAGAATATAACAACCCTATCTATATCAATTCTTATCTGAATTCTCTTTCTTAATAAATTATTCCAAATAGACGATTTCCCGTATTTATTGATACAGATCCTTTTAAAAAATATATTCAAAAACGTTAATATTTTTTTTAGGAATGATGATCATAAAAATCATCATCACTTGCAAAAATGATTTTAAAATATTTACCTAACTAAGCTTCCAGATCACAAAATATGAAATTAAAGCTTAAAAAGGGGATAGTGGGATAAATTTTGATGGCTCATTCATACTGAAGTAAAAAACTGCATTTTATTTGTTTGTTACCTTGGATTGGTCTGAAAACTGGATTTGCGCAAGATAATAATTATTATACTAAATAATTTAAAGTTCATAATTAATAAAACATCGAACTTTTAGTGCAAGTTTTGTCAATTAAATATAAAGGCACAAAAGGAGGTAAACGGGTTAAAAAGGCAATAAAACTCTTAAAAGTAACAATTTAAATATAAATTTTAATCATCACTTTCAAGAGTTTTTAATGCAAATTACAATTTTAAACCAATGATAGATTTTGCTTTAACCCTCAAAGAATATGTCATTTATAGGCTTCAAGATCTTGTTAATAACTTTACTTTTTCTAATTTACTCTTAAAATTCTTTGATTTAATGATACTCACCTTTTGAAAATTCAAAAATCCTAGTCCAGTTAATATTGCAAATCCTTTTCTTCTCTAAATCTGGCGCACATTTCGGATATCCTGTATATTATCAATATTAATAATGTTTAAGTAAGTAAAATGTATTTTATTTAATTTAAGAAACTTATTCACAGTATTTATAGCATAAAAACCTAGCATTTTGTAATTCTTAATTCTTTAACAAAAAAGCGAGATTTGTGGTATATATTACTTCTGAGAAGGTTTATTTCAGTAATTTTGAGCATTTACTTAAATGAATAATATATATTTTTACTTCATAAATTTAAAATGCATTTTAAACGTTTCAGATTTCTAAATTTTATACCTTTCAATTCATACAATTTAAAGGTTTCGATGAATATACTTCTTAAGCTTTCAATTCTTGCATTTTAAACAATTTCAAGTCTTATATTTTGTAGTGCAACAATCGAATTAATTTCAGCGTTTATTTCAAAAATATTTTGAGTTATAATAACATCCTTTTATTTCATAATTTTTGAGTAATATTCTTTTGTCCATTGTATTTATGCTTTCATGCACAACGTTAGAATTTTCATTCTAAAATTATGGTAAAATGACTGCCCATCCAATTAAACGTAAAATTTTCACTAGAGAGCATATTTTACCTTTACGGGTTTGAAGCCGTTTACAACTGATATGGTTAAAAAATCATGAATGCAAAACTATACTGTTTTTAACCATTTGCAACCAGTAAGTTTTCAAAGCCATAAAAAGAAATTTAACTGGACAATGGAGATGGCTTAGCAGCTTTAAGTTGCTGACATCTATGCATGAATGAGAATATAGTATTCTAATAGCCCAGGATCACAAATTGGGACATTGAAAACTCTTCATGTGTTGAAGATATTAGAGGAAATATTGTGGTGCCAACGCTGGGACTTGAATCCCTTTCTGCCGGTCATGGGCTTTTTAGGTTATAACATGCATCCATCTACAAGGAACTAAGAGGCTTCACTAGGTAGGCCCAATTTGCTCAAAAACATTTAGGTTGCTTAATCGAATTTGGTGAAAGCATTTAATAAATTGTTCCTCTCTCAGTTAACAGTTTGAATTCCATCGCCTTTATGGTTATTTGTCTTTTTTGTCTAAATGTAATAAAATAACAGTTAAAAAATTTTTTATTTAAGCATATTTTTCAGAGAATTTTCGAATAGTGCATGAACTTTAAATCAAAGTTGATAAACAAAAAACAATTTTGTTACTTTTTAGAACACATCTCACGATTCTTTTATGAAATGTCAAAATCAAAAGTACAAGAATACAAGTAATAAAATTGTTAGCTAAAGAAATAAATTGCTCAGCTGACAAAAACTAGTTTTAGTTCAGACAAACGACGAACAAGTTTACTTTTTAGCCTCTGAGAGCAACGGCCTCATTTTATTCGAGAAAAGAAACAACAAAAAATATATTAAACGTTCCAAATCAATCGTGTTGACAAGTGATATAATTAAATCTAAAACAAGACATCATTATCAAGTAAAAAAAATTGAATTAGTGGTTAGAAAAGAGTCAGTTTTAAATCTAAGCGAACGTTGTGTACTAGTTATATATTTTCAATTATACTGTGATTGATAATAAATATAAAAGATTCAAGGAAGTTCAGCTTTAAAACAAAATAAAACAATGATTTAATTTTAAAAGAGTCTAAATGTCTTTTTATCTTGTCTTTGCTTAAAAAAAATTGTAAATGGAAATGAAAAATTGATAATTATACCAGAAGGCCTAAAACTTCATAAAACGCAAAAAAAAGGTAAGTTCATGTTGATTTGAATTGGAATACTATCAAAAGCTGGTTTTATTATTTAAAAATAAATAATAGTGAGAACTGCATAATTCAGGTACAAAAATTTTTAAAAAGTCTAGACGGAATCAAATATATATTCCAATCTAAACTTACAGANATATTCGATAATCTTTGTCATGATGGATATAAGTCTTATAATTATTCCTGTCTGATTTCAGATAATATGATCTGTAACAATCAATAAGTTTTTTTCTCTCTAAGAATACTTCTTTCAGGAATAAAGCTAAAATAATTAGGTTTCTTTTTACCAAAGTATTTAAAGTGATAATAATGCACTCAATAAAAGATAACAAAAAGAAGTTAAAAATCACTTTGAAAAATAACTATTTACTATTCAATTAATTAAGAAATCAATACACTTTATTGTGATCGATGAATGAAAATAATGCATATGTTTTTATATGTCTTTCTTAATAAAAATTTTAACTGAAAACAAATGTATCTAAGGACAGAATGTTTTTAACTTAATATCAGAACATTCTATGTTATATCCCCCTAAGATGTGTAGTTGTGTTTTATTTCTGAAACAATATTATAAAAAAATAATATTCAAATATAACTTTTTAGCTTTAGAGATTTTTGCACAGTATGTGTTTAAGCATTTACCTTTTTGTATGGTAAAATATTAAGTATTTTTTTAGGATAAACTTATAGTACTATTCAAATTCTGAAAACATTTTATACATATTTACTTTTTCTTATTCGTTATTGGATCGATTAATAAATGCATATGACTTTTAAATCCTGAAATGTTATTATTGATTAATTTTATAGTACACAAAAGTTGGAATTCTTGAAAACTCATTGAAATTCCTTTTGTTGCATTTGTAAATGTTGTTTGATTCGTAAATGTTGTTGATGATACCTTCCCAGAAATGTTTAAAATTAAAAATTATGAGTCTTACAACTGTTTTCTTCTTTATTTTATTTAAGTACAAAAGGTTATACATTTTGGATTTCTTCATTTGGTCTTAATTGCTTACATAAGATTCCAGGTAGTAGGTTCTGGAAAGACCTAATAATACAAAGAAGACATGTAGATCTTTGTTTTCATGTTGTTTTTAATTAGAATTTGCTAGTTAAAAAATAGATATGTACTAACTAGTTTTTAAAATGCATGTATCAGTTTTAGAAGACTTAAAAACTAAGGCAAACATTAATTCAACTAAAATAGGAATTTCAATTTATCTGTAGGTTTTTAATTATTATCTGACCAGTTGCATTGTTCATAATGTTGCTAAATTATATTTTATGTTACAGATAGGTTAGTCTTATTTCAAGAATCACATAAAGGTGTATTTAAAATTTTATTCCATTTATCGACACCTACAGAAACAATTCTTTAAAAGAAAACTGTAATTAATAATTTTCAAGAATCAAAATTTTTATTCGGTAATCAGCGCTTTTACCAAAAAAAGTGAATTGTAAATAATAATGTATTACTTATAATGAATTACATTGATGGTATCTTATATTTTCAAAGAGAAATTTTTCAAATATTTATATAAAATGTAATAATATTTACCAATCCTTGTTGTCTTTTTAAAACTTAAAGTTAGTTGTTTATAAAATGTTCTAAATAATTTTTTAGTTTTATATTAGAAATTTATTTCTGATGAAATTACACTTTAGGAAAAATTTGAATTTTATTAAAATAGTTCATAAAAGAGATTTTCGGTAAAAAAAAAAAAATTTCGCAAAAATAAGCATCAAAATTTAAATTCTCGAAAAGTTCGTAATAGATTATATGAATAACTCTGAATAATATGAATAACAATGAATAACTCTGAATGAAATAAATATGAATAACTCTGTATAAGTCTTATACAGAGTTATTCATATCTATTTCATTGTTCTTATTGCATCTCTATTTCATGATCAGCAAATATCCGACTTGATTACCGGTGTATAAATCTACATCCTCATTTTTATAAAAAAAATTTAGGTTTGAAAATTCAACTTTACAAAGAGATGTGCGATATCTGTTTCTCAAAATTTCTATTCAAAAATAAAGCAAATAAAAGTTAGACTTCTTTATTAAATGTATTATGCTGTTTTTAGAGTATATTGAAAATAAAATATATCTGCTTAAATTGATTCAACTTTCAACTTCAACGCAGGTTTGCTCTCCTGGTAAGAAATCAGTTTTCTTTCAATCAGTTAAATTTTCATGTAATCAGTCAAAAAACTATATTTTACCGTCGAAAAAATGTTTGCATTAATTTTGTTACATGATAATTAACAGATAAAAACTAGAAATGCAAACAAATAAGTTACAGTTCACTAACTCTGTAACATCATTTTCTGAACATCTGTTACCTAGGGCTCTGTAAATTATGGTTAACAAGTTGTGAATGACTTGTATTGTATTCTTGCTTCTGATAATTCTTGAATTTTTTTTTTTTAATTTCTTTTTCACGGAATCAGCTTTCATCAGCCATTTCTTCACCCCCGCCTTGATCTTCATATATAATTAGTGCGCAACATTTTTATCTAATTGTGCAAACTATAATAATATTTATATTGTGTATTAAAACATTATTATACTTTTGATCATTTAATTTACGGTAAAATAGCACTACTGTAAGAAAAAAAGTCTTAATTTATGTATAATAATTTTTAATAATATTTATCCTAATTGTATACTTCCAGTTCCGTATTTACAGAGAATAGTCTTAATTTCATCTCCTTCCAACTCCAATGCTGGGTGGTAACGTATTGTGAGGGTATTTGCAAAACTGTCTTGTGGTGTCTGCAACAGAATATTTTTAATTTTGTTATTATTAATACATTTATTAAATCATAAAAATCCGTACATTAAGTCGTCGAGATATATATATATATATTATATATATATTTATTAACTTATATATATATATATATACGTATATGTGTGTTCCTTTAAACTTAAAAATGTTTCCAATAGATAACTTTTATGTTTAATGGAATGTTTCTTTTTCTTATAAAAAGCTGGATCATTACTAAGGGGGGGGGAGGCCCTGTTCTTAAAACGTACTTTTAGGGAACAAAATACTGAAATACAAGGGAGAAAATACAAAAGTTTACATATTGCAAGCAAAGGAAGAGTATTGAAGAAATTAAACATTCGAGTTCAATCTTTGAAAAGCAAAAATGAATAGGAAATTAATGCTATAAAACAGAAAATGTATAAAATTAAAGAAAATAATAATAACTTAAATATGTAAAATATACAGGGCATTCTGTGATAATGGACAAAATTAACGGTCTCCACCGGCTACAAGAAGACTAAACGTATCAAAGAGCAATTAAAAAATTGCATGAAAGTCACCACTTGATGGCTACTTTCGTCATCGCAAACGCTTGTGCTATTCATTATTATTATTTTTTTAATAAATATGGAATTTTTATATTATTTTGAAAATTTCTTATTTCACATTAGTTTCTTAAAATTTTTCTTCACTTTAGAAATAGACCTTGTTTGAGAAATGTTGCCACATTTTGCTGCCCTATAATGCCTTATTTCCGTATTTTGAGAAAAGCTTCAAAAGAAATAACATTATTAAAATCAACAGTTTTTATATCATTTAAGATTTTCTATTTTGGAAAAATTGATACTTGTTTCAAAAAGTAGCCACTGTTAAAAATGCTGCAACTGGCCAGAAACAAAATTTCTTCATATTGCTCTATATTTTGTGATCACCGCCATTAATTTATAACGTTATTATATTATTTTCCTAGGAAAGAAAATAAACAAAGAAGATTACTACTGAAAATATTTTAACTGATAACACCAAAGCCAAACTGATTGTCATATTAAACATGAATGTGTTTCTGATCTATTACTCTATTATATTTAATCCATTTCCTTCAGCAAACAGATAAGCTCTAATGTTTTCAGTCTCGCCTTCTTTTACATTGCTATAAATATCAATTTGTAATTCCTAATTATTTTTTGATAATTTGTTACGGGGTTTAATTTTCCTTCCATTTTACTAGCTAAAAACATATTTTGCATGAAATTCGTTGAGCTGCAATTTTTTGCTCATTTTTTATCTATTTTATTTTATGTCATTAAAGTCATTAAAATCTGTGGTATTTTGAAATCACACTATTAAACCTTAGAAATGAAAAAAATATCTAAGCGAACAAAAAACATGCTAAAATTAGTGGGACTAAAGGCAAAGAAATAATTTAGAGTTCTTAAGTGTTTAAATAATTTCAACCTGCATTCTTATTGGCGTACTTTTATCTTTGTTTTTATACTCTATAGTTATATAAATAGATTAAAGTAATTTCTATTTCTGTTTTATGTGAAAATGCAAAAAGTTTTTCTTGGAAATCTCTGTGAAAACTATAGATCGCATTTATAAAATATCTCGAAAGTTATCATACCGACAAATCGTGAATTTTTTATGCAAAAAAATTAAAAATAGTCATTTTTAAGCTAAAAATTAAAATCGAATAAAAAAAATTTAGAACAAGGACAGTTTCTTGCAAAAAATTACAATATGATTTAATTTTCATGCAGTAACTCGATTGATTAATTTGTTATTCAAAAAATAATTATACTCTATTGTATATTTTTATTAAACAATTTTAACAGTACTAAGCTATCATTTCATGAAAAAATAGCTATCATTATTACTTTTTGCATTAAAAGAATAATTATTTTTATCAATTTCTTCATGAAAAAAATATATAACTATCGCAATCACTTTTTTCATAAAAAAAAAATGATAACTATCTCAATCACTCTTTTAGTCTATATATTTCCAAGAAAGCAACAGTCTGATTAGATTTTTCCTTTTCATCATCTGTGATTCACACAGCTATACTGATCCCTGAGGTGATGAGTAATCAATATTCCTTGTCACTTCCTTATGTTTCGAATAAATCATTTTCCAAACCATTGAGATCAACAATTGCAACCGTAAATACTTAAAAAACATGTTTCATACAACAAAATAGAGCTAAAACAAGGAATTACTTATATGATTATGTTTTTCTGCTATTCTTTTCAATTTCCTTTCAGGTACAACTTTATTGAAAATCATAATATTTTCTTTGTTAAGAAGAACCGAGAACAGAAACCGCGCCAAAAGTAACCCTTTTAAATCATTAAATTAATCATCACAAAAAGTAACAAAATTAAAATTAACAGTTATAATAAAATTATTAAAGTTAATTATTGATATTAATATTAATTTAATAAAAATTGTTAAATTAATATTAGTTGACGATAAAAAAAATTTAATTCCTCATATAATAATTTTCTTGACAGCAAACTTATTTTCACATTTGGTATTTTGTTCTCATGCTTGACAAAGACATTTATAATTCGTTTTTTAAACTTAACTAAACTCAGTGTCGCGACAGACCATGGAGGGCCAAGGCCTACAGTACCTATCCCAGTTTTCCTAACCTTGTACTCTGGGGTGTGGGAGCAGATGTTCCAATTGGTACAATTACTGACGATACTGGAAAAAAGTAATGACGATATTCAAAGTGCGTCAAAATTGGCGAGTTTGGAAGTGAAAACAGCTCCCGAATGATGTGAATGCGCATGAACTTGGTTTATTGGTGAACCCTCTGAGACGCGTTTCATGCATCGCACTTGAGTTTCATTCCTCAAGAATTTTAATAACAAGAAAATACTCCTCTAAATGCTTTGTTAAAATTGTTCGGTACTTTTTTCCGTACTATCGAAAAAAAGATAATAACTTCAAAATCAGTTGTTCGCATCCATTCTTCACCCTGTAGAAAAATATAATAAATAAATAAATGAAAATAAATATATTTAAAAATTAAGTTTAATAATTTTATCCATAAGTTTTGCTTCCTTAAAACCATAGTCTAACTTGCCTGCAAATAATATTAAAAAAACATCGGTAATATTGTTAAGTAATGCTTCTGTCAAATATTCTATCAACAATTCTTAAGTGTTTATATTGCATTATTAATGCATAAGTTATAATCTGTATAATAAAATATTAATTTTCAAGAAGTAATTTACAAATTTAATCTAATTCGAAGTTCACTCCTAAATCATAAGTTTTATCCCACAGAAATTAATAAAAGAATGTAATGACTAAATATTTCCTTAGATAGTACTGCCGAGATTTAAAGAAGCTAGTCTTTTTGGTTTGGAAATAAATAGTGATAAGACCAAATATATGATAATGGATTGTAAGGGAGCGGATATGGACACGGAATTACAAAACAATGAAATGACGAAATTTGAAAGAGTTAGGGAATTTAAGTACTTGGATTCAGGTGTCACTGAAAACAATGATATTATGCCAGAGATTAAGCAAAAACTAAATGCTGGAAATCGCAGTTATTTTGCACTTAAGAGATTGCTAACATCAAAAGTAATAACGAGGAAAACAAAGCTTCAGGTTTATAAAACTATTATCAGACCAATCGTTATCTATGGATCAGAGACGTGGACTCCAACCCAGAAACAAGAAAAAATGCTGATTACTTGGGAAAGAAAAATTCTTAGAACTATTTTTGGACCTGTCAAAGAGGGTGATCTGTGGAGAAGGCGATACTTCGAAATTGCAAGACTATTTAAAGAAAAAGATATAATAAATTATGTAAAAGCAAAGAGAATTCAGTGGCTAGGACACCTTGAGAGAATGGAGGAAAACAGAGGCACTAAGAAGATATTCAAGGGGCAGTGCCAGGGTCAAAGGAAACGAGGAAGGCCGGTCACATGATGGTTTGACGAGGTGAGAAAAAGACCTTAAGACTCTAAAAGTCCGAAACTGGAAACAAAGAGCTGGAGACAGACGACTTTGGACTCCAACATGGACTGTAATGCCAGGGAGTTAGTTAGTTAGTTAGTACTCCCGAGATATGAAAAGGGGTCTTTAGTTTTAAAAAATGTTTTTAAGTTCTTTATCGTGAATTAAAATTCTTCATCAATTAATATCTCAGCAGTAGATACGTCTGCTTAATTAAACTAATTTTGTTTCAAATTTTATCCATAAAACGATTATTAATAAATAGCATATTAAGAAGCATTGCAATAACTAATATTTAAACAATTTCAATCAATAACAATTTCAGTTAACTAAGCTCCTATTAATTTACGAATTTCTAAACAATTTTTTTAATCCCCTCGTGACAAATTAATCACAGATTGGATGAGTACTTCCAATAAGTTATCTTCATTATAAAATACTAATTAACTAGAAGTAATTTACAAAGTTAATCTAATTTGAAGTTCACTCCTTAATTTTAATTTTTACCCCACAAAAATTAATAAAGGAGTGCAATGACTAAAAAAAAATTTTAGATAGTCATATAAAAATGGGTCTTTATTTTTAAATTTCAGGGAAGGTATCAAAAATGTTTTTAAGTTTTTCATCCTGAATTAAAAATTTTCATCCATCAATCTCTCAGCAATACATACGTCTGTTATATCTCATCAGTATTACATCTGTTTTATTTTCGTCTGTGTTTGTTCATTATACGTCTGTTTATATCTGTCTGTTTATACGTAATAAACAGACGCATCTGTTTATTACGCCTTTAACAGACGTAATATTGTAACAGTTTTACGTCTGTATTCTGTCTTTATTATGTCAGTATATACGTCTGTTTAGTCTTTTATTACGTCTGCTTACAGACGTATGTATCAGCAGTACATACGTCTATTTGTCCAATTAATTTTCTTTTAAATTTTATCCATAAGAAGATCATTAATAAATATCATACTAAGAAGCATCGCAAAATCTTATATTTAAACAATTTCAATCAATAAAGCTCCTATTAATTTACGAATTTATTACGGTATCAAAAATGTTTTTAAGTTTTTCATT